CCTGCTCTTTTCAATGCCGTGTCTACTGTTACCTCCCGAGATCCTGTGGGTCCATCTCATGGATTATCACTCTTCACATGCCTAAAGCAAGCATATTTTCTGAACTAAAAACCAGTGTTCATTGGTTGGCCATGAGTCAGGAATTAAGGATGCTTTGGAAAAGTTGGGGGGAGTGGGTTTCCCAGTAGTGAGGCACAAGCAGCAGTCTCTACTGGCCGTGTTTGTTCAGCTGTATTGAATAACTTACTCAGTGCTGAGTACTTCCAGAGACTGGAGTCACAAAGACGACAACTCTCTGCCGTGGTGGAGCTTTGCTTGTCTGTGAGGGTGCCAAGTAGACGTTTGAACTCACTTACCTGTTGTCACAGCCGATGCTTCCCGCTGCCCCCACCCCCGCCTCAAGCCCTTCCCAGCACAGACATCTCTTCTTATTTCTTTTTCCCAGCTCTTGTCTCCATAGGGATTGGAGTTCTTGCTCTGCATTCTTTCCGCCAGAAAAGAAGGTCCTTTTGCTTGCTTTCTCCGGACCCTACTCTTAAGTTTGGTCCAACGGGAAACCTCTCTTGGCTTCGCTATTCACATAGGACCTTCCTCAAGTCAGGCCAAACCTCCTTTTTCCATTTCTCATACTGGCTCTGTCCTCACTCATGGACTGGCTACTTCTTAAGAACCTCTTCTTCTAACTGTTTGCAGTGTGACAGTGGCTTTGCAACCGTCTTTGAAGTTTCTCCTCGTCATGAACTTCTTATTGTAACTAAAGATCTAGAAGTGTCTTTGTGTATATTAAACACACAATGTAGGGAGAGAAAGAGGTATAGGGACCATGTATCTAGTCCACTTTGTCCACAGCTGTCGACCTTACAAAAGACGGGTATAGTGACAGGTGGGGGCAGGTCCTAGCCCAGTGTCGCTACCTCTTAGGTTTACTTTTTCTACTTGCAATTCAAAGCTCCTGCAGAATGACTGAGGTAGTAAATTACTTTCCTGCTCTGAAGACAAAAAGAGACTCTTCTTTAGCAAGATCAGAGCATTCACAAATTTCTGCCCTCCTTCCCTTTCCCACCCCTGTGGAGTCCCATCCCACATCTCAAAGAGCGGCTGCTCTGCTGCAGGGAAGCAGGAAGAAATGCCTTCGTGCCTTCCCCTTTCTCTCTTGCCTTCTTCAGGATCAGCAACCCTTTTGTTCTCTTCCCACGTGCTTCCTCTTCCTTCTCTTAGGAGAGAATGTGACACTTGATGGGCATGTTGTCAGGCATCTGAGGTTCCAATTATAGCTCCATCACTATCGGTCTGTGTGAGCTGGGGAGCAGGACTGTAACCAATAAGAGATGACAGCTTTCATTGTGTGATTCATTTCTTCATATCAGTGTGTCATTCTGATTCCTTTCTATTTAACCAGATGTCTTGAAAGAAATTATAGTTTAATCATTTGAAGGACTGTGAATAAAGGAATAACAAAACCCTTTCCCTTTGGCCTGAGCATTTGGCTTTTGGGAAACTCCTTAGCTCTGTTTCCCTGGAGACCTGATAAAAGCAAGTAACAATGGCCCTGATTGGTAAGCTCTGTCCGGACTGGGACAACTATAAACACCAGGTTGAAAGCTATATCTTTGGGTTTCCCTAAGTGCGGTGACTCTTGTAACTGGCATGACTGTATGGGGACCACAGAAGCTATCTATGCCCATGGAGTTCCTCCAAAAGATATTAGCTGCTGTGGAGTGTGGGGCTTCCAATCCAGGGTGGCATCCGTACCCTCCTGATGTGACTCTCACTTCCTCACACCTGAGTCATCCCATGGGGCCAAGGAGGATAGCTTCTGGCCTCAGTGTGGATGGTTTGGTGGTCCCTGCAAGGTCCTGCAGAAGAGGGACACCAGCTGTGTCCTACTAGCACCCTCTGCGTCCTGACCAGTGCTTCCCTCTGAATCAAATGGTGCCCTTGTGGCTCGGCAGTCTTGTGAATCCGTGTGCTTAGCAGAGCCTTAGAATAAGACCTCCCAGTGGGCATTGCAGGTGAGGTTTTCGACTTTTAGTGGTTTGAACAAGAGCTCTTGCCTGCGATGCTGTCTGCCTGAGGCAACAGCCCAGTCATATGGGTGAGGGGGATCAAAAGGTACAAACTTCCGTTGTAAAATAAGTAAGTCACAGTTTCAGTTTTGCAAGATGAAAAGAATCCTGGAGGTTGGTTGCACAACAATGTGAATGTATTTAAAACTCCTGAACTGTACATTTGAAAATGGTTAAGACGGTAAACTTTATGTTATGTGTCTTCTACCACAATTGAAAAAAAATGGATGGGTTCTTCTAAATGCCAAACTTAAATCATGTTTTCAGTGGCTGGGCTAATGCTAAATGTTTCCAACTTTTATTATAAGTAGTATAGGTAGATTTTTGTGTCACGTTTCCAATTCTGTCTTCCAGTTCTGCTTAAAAATCATCTATACTTAATTTCTTATTGTTTAACCAGTTGACAATTTCAGCCACCAGCTACCGCAGGTTTCCGTGTTAGTGGTGACCACGCCCTTTACTAACCTGAGAACACCATCTAGGGGTCAATTGTGGACTACAGGCTACACCCAAGGAAGGAGGGGGACCTCTCCCCCAGGCCTTTCACTTCCTGAAAGGCCATCTGGAAAGGGAGGCAGTTCAAAGCGCCACCCTTTTCCTAGGTGGAAACTATTCTTCCAGTCAGTCTAGTTTCCAAGACCTTGTAGCTATGAAAAGAAAGCTCTCCCAGTATTTATAGTACTTGAGGTTAGAATAAATAATCTTTTTATGGGATAGAGCACTAATGTCTTGCTAATAAAAGCTTCAACTCCTAATCCTTTGTTATTCTCTTAAAACGATATAACATCTCCAGTGCAATTAAGGCTAAAATATTCTTGCATAGACTCATGTACCCACTTAGGAATGTAATAGAGCAGTTTTTGAGAGTCATTGAATGATTTTGCTTTTGGTGAATCACAGAATCAGAGAACACTAAAACTTAAACAGCTTTGGAGACCATCTGGTTTGGAGACCATCTAGAGACCAGTGGTTCTCAACCATTATAGGGTCCCAGACCTCCTTGGTACTCTGATTAAAAATTAGTAGACTTTAATCCCGTAAAATGTTATTTTATACAAACCTTGATTACCATTTTAAAGGGTTCATGGACGTTCAACCTTTCCCCACCAAAGTTCGAAATACATCGAGAACTCCTGCTTTAGTCCCACCCTGTAATTTGGAAATGAGGCTTCTGAGAAATACCACATGTGAAGAAGCAGCAGGAAATGTGGTCCCACACGCAGCGTGATGCTGCGCCAGAACCAGCCCTGGTAAAACCCATTCCCGGAGTGCACGTATTCTCTATGGACAGTCAGGCTGAGTAAGAGGGCAGAGAACCACCTGGCAGAGGCTCCAGCTCTGGTGGGGGAACCTCGTCGGAATCAGCAGCCATGAAAAGCAAGAGTTGTCTTAGTGGCTGGAGAGGAAGAACACCATTAGCTGGCAATCCAGAGACAGTCAGAAGAGCGCGGACATGACCCGGGGGCCCAGTGGAGACGATGTGGTGAGGGGTTTGGCAACAGCATGGGCTGTGACTCAGGAGCACAGAGAAGTAATAGTCAGAGGAGCAGAAGAGGTATAGACCAAGAGAAGAGGCACCGCGGAGCTGCAGGGAGAAGTCTGGACTCTTTGTGAGATCCCTCCCCAGGGACTCATAGAAGACGTCACTAGGGAGGACCAGAAGGCTGGACTTCCGATGTGGACAGGAGCACTGCTGTTTGGGTTTGTACTACACATGGGACGATTTGATTTGCCAGGAAACAAAGGGTGTGAAGAACCAGTTATGGTACGTTTTTGCTTGAATTCCCTACTGAAATGTGGCAGGAGCCAAACTGACACTCCAGGTAAGTGTGTTGCAGCTGCCACCTGGGGAGCACCTATCTGCCATGGACTTTGAGGCAAATCACCATAAATCTTTCTGAACCTCAGCTTCCTTGTCTACAAAATGAGATTGGGAATCACTGAGCACTAAGTTTCCTTCCAACGTGAAAAAAATCTCCTGATTCTATGACCAGATTGGAAGGCCAGGGTTGGGCCCTCTCAGCTCAGCAGATTGAAGTGAGTCATTTCTGAGCTGCTGGCCTAAGCACTATCCTCTTCAGTCAAATATTCCCTTGAGACGTAATTTTTTGGAAAATTGGGAAAGGGAGGATCCAAGAAGCTGGAAGGAAACTTGTAAGAGACTGAAAAACATGTCCTATCATTAAGAAAGAGAATGAACAAGATGACAGTCAGAATCGGGGTTGTGATTTGGGTTGACTGATTCCAAGAGTTCACACCACTGGAACTGGATCTCACGGGAGGAGAGCAGGGCAGCCTTCAAGGTCAGCTAATGCAGGGGCTCCAGGCCCCCTTCCCTGGGATGCACAGCTTTGCTTCGTCTGTGTTCACTTCTCAGGCTGGCGGTAATGAGGCTCCTGCAGCAATATGGCCAAGCCTGACGCCTGCACATGACAATGTTCAGGGAGAGAGACTCTCCCTTCCTATGGCTCTCCTAAGGATAGGGAATTTTCCAGAAGCCCCAGCATACTTCCCCTTGAATGTCACGAAACTGAATTGGTTTGCATGCCTGTTCCTGAACCTGTCACTAGCACGGGTGATGAGATTACGCCCAGACAATGTTGGTTTCCCCAAAAGGTACAAGGCCTGCCGTGGGGAAGGGGGAAACTACCTGACACAAACCAAGGTCTGTGGGGATGAGGAAGAGTGGCTGCTCAGGAGACAACTCTCAGTGTCTCCCACGTGCTGTATTTCAAAAATCTTGCCACATGCTTTGCAGAGTCATCTTTTGAAAATATAATGGGATGTGCGTGACCATGTTCCCTATTTTATAGATGAAGTGATAAGCTCAAGGCCACACAGTTGGGTTATCGCTGGAAACAAAGACACTGCTCACCAGGAACCAAGGCTTCTCTATGTCCGCTCCAAAAGGTTTCAATTCCTGGCTTATCCTTGTACCCAGATAGTCTTTTCCTAGGGATTATTATCAGACAATAATGAATGAAAAAATAGGAATAAAGAGTGAGAGACAAGAATGTTAATCATAGGGATGTGTGTGTGTGTGTGTGTGTGTGTGTGTGAAAAAGTGGGAATGATCAGACAGCCCAATAACATGTGATTAGTTAGATCGATTTTGGTGCATAGATACAGTGGAATACCATGCAGCCATTACCATTACATTGTAGGAGAAAAAGCAGTGGCCTGCAAAAATGTTCACAATATGTTGTTACATCAAAAAGCAAGCTCCAGTATTCACAGCAGCACTACTTACAATAGCCTGGACGTGGAAACAACCTAAATACCCATCAACAGAGGACTGGATAAAGAAGTTGTGATATACTTATACAATGGAATACTACTCAGCCATGAAAAAGAATAAAATATTGCCATTTACAATAACATGGATGGACCTGGAGATCGTCATTATAAGTGAAGTAAGCCAGAAAAAGAAAGAAAAATACCATATGATAGCACTTATATGTGGAATCTTAAAAATGACAAATGAACTTATTTACAAAACAGAAACAGACTCACAGACATAGAAAACAAATTTATGGTTACCGGGAAGGGGAAGAGGTGGGAAGTGGTAAATTGGGAGTTTGAGGTTTGCAGATACTAACTACTATACATAAAATAGATAAATGGCAAGTTTGTCCTGTGTAGCACAGGGAACTGTATTTAATATCTTATAGTAACCTATAATAAAAAAGAATATGAAAGCGAATATATGTATTTATATGTGTGACTGAACTCTTATGCTGTACACCAGAAATTGACACAACATTGTAAACTGATATAGATAAACTTCAATAAAAAAAAGTGGGCTCTAAAACTGTTTTCAGAGAAAAGCAGATCTAGATAAATGAAGCAATGTATCCACCAGCACCTTATCAGTGCTTATCTTTGCATTGTGGAGAAAGGATGACGATCTTCCTTTCCTACTTTGTGCTCATCTGTATTTGCCAAATTTCTTGGGTGAGAATATATAACAAAGGATTTCTTTGGTGAGAATATATAACAAAGGATTTCTTTTGTGAGAACATTATAATCAGAGAAAAAACTGTCTGTTCTTTTTAAAGAGGTTTTTATTTAATCAATTTTCTTCTCACCAGAACACTGATTTCAGACACAGATGCCAGTATCAGAGGGTTCCAAAGGGAAGGAGAGGGAGGGGGGAGAGCCTTCCCGGACCTGTCCTCTATGCTGATGAAATCTCAGGATAAGAAGCATCACAGGGAAGGATTCTAAAGCTTCTACCCTCAGCTGCCTTCAAAGAGTGGTCACTGTATCCACGGCCAATGAGCAAAGCACGATGTGTGCTGTGGGAATCGTGGGGGTTAACAAAAGCTACAGATTCTTCTTAAGACAACACTAATATAATAGTTATTCTGAAG